GGACACTTTTGGAGAACAGGGACGAAAGTGTGGGTGACACCCCCTGTCTCTATCTCATCGGGTATACCCATACAATTTAGTCGGGCAAATTTTGAAAATATTTGAGTGTCTCAGATCATATGCTCAGATTGAAATAGTGGTAGGAAAAAGTGGTAGTGAAAAATGCTCCGCTCACCAACAATTTTGAAAAGAAATATTAATTAGCAACTGGTCAAATGTTCGTTCCTCAGGAACGACATCGGAAACGCCCTTTTGGTCAGGCAAAACAAGTTACCCCCCAGCTATAATACAGAAGTTTTGCCCCTGTTGGAGAGCCCCCCTTGTTAACATTCCAGGACCGACACCACTGGTCGTAGCCATACCAGTATTGTTAGCATATATAATTTCAGCACATCAAAATTGTATTCTCTTACTGCAGTAGCAGCCACTTGGTGGGAATGCTGAATTTAGGTTGCCACAACATGAACACCTTATGGTGCTCTACATCTCAGTTCTTTAAATATGGCCTCAAAATTCTGGCAATTTACAGCTTATTTTATTCCCAACCTATGCTTTCATGGATGACCGATGTTATATCATCCAAAGGCTTTCAGAAAGGGGAGAGTGGTTTGTACCCTACACTGCTGTCCTGTTTATTTTCTGTTAAGCCCCAAGCTGGCCAAGCAGCTTATTTATTTCAGGCATGGAGTCTAGAAACTATAGCTTGTAATATCAATTTGAGAGGATGTGGAGGGCTTAAATTAACAGTAGATTTGTTATAAAATTATTACTTTCACGAATATTTCACTACCATAGTATGGCCTTGATGTATTTGAAGGATCACATGATTTACAGATCCATGGCTCACTGAATTTAATACTTTAATATATTTATACAGTTATATGAATATTATGGTATACTCAAAAAGAGTCTTATATCCACACCCAAATTCTATGCTCGTATGTCCAAACGGCAAACACAAGTCCAGAACGACAAGCTAAAATCCCAACACTGGCGATCACTAGCGCAATTGAATTGAAGTAAATATTTTATTACATCTGTTTCGGGAATTCAGCCATGTCAGTCAGCTTTCATATCGGTAAACAAGAAAAAGTATTTGCCATAATACAAGATACAAAAGTGTACAGATCGTAGGTAAATCCTCAATCAGAATTAATGTAACATTTAACTTGTATTTGAAATCTTGCAAATAAATGTAATTTCGACTTTGTTTACGTCGTATTCGGCAATTTCCACGTGTAATTCCTGCACTTGAACACCAATTTCCGGTATCGGTGTCATTGATCTCACGCCAGCCAATGGAATTGATAATTTCATTCCGTTTCTCCAGAGTCATGCCCAGCACCTAACCTGCGAACGGGCATACTCTGGGTACGAGATTGTATACAAACGGGACTATGTTTTAAATATTAGAACACTTTCGGAAAAAAACCACCATGCATTATTTTAGATTAAAGTTTAGACCTTGGAATCCTAGTGAAAGATACAGGCGTAATTTGCGCGAGAAACTGTTTGTTATTGTTAATGTGGTTGTTAATAACCTCTGGTAATCTAATTAATAAAACTTACTTTGATTGCCTACTATTTACCGGATATTCAATTATCTCAAAAGGGGCGTATTGAAAAAATATCAATAAAAGTCGCAGGCTCTATATAATAGAGTGTGAGGACTGTACTGTGAGATATCTGACCTCTGTTTTTTGCATGGATCTCGCTCCTTCGTCGCTTGGTTCATACTAAAAAACTTCGGTCTGATATTTCACAGTACAGACCTCACGCACAGTCAATAACCCTTTAATATTCACTTACAGGTGAATATAACAAAACCGAAATTTGCAAAATGGGGCTAGCCGTTTTGTGGAAGTTACTGATAAAGAAATAAGCGAAATTAAAATAAATTTAGTCCCAAAAAACACAAAAGACTTCCGTAAAAATACTAAAATAAATATTCGCCTCAGGCTCGGTGATTATCAGGGAATATTCCCCGTTTATCAGGGAATATTCCCCGATAATCAGCTCGCCTTCCGCCAATAATTGTTAAATATCGCTAATTGTTAAATAATTGTTAAATATCGCTAATTTTTATTGTGCATGTACGCTAGGGATAGGGTAATGGTACGGACGGACGTGATACGGACGGACGGATGACTTATTTTCTCTAAAATATGTTTTAAACATCATATCAGCGTGGCCGAATGGGTAAAACGCAGATATGGTGTAAATTATATTTTCGAGTCTTTAAAAGGCATACCCGCGTTTTAACCAATCGGGTAAAACGCGGATATGGTGTAAAATATACTTTTTGAGTCTTTAAAAGGCATATCAGCGTTTTACCCAAACGGGTTGAACGGCATGGATATGACTCAATTAATCAGTAAAGATCCGAAAAATATATTTTACACAAAATGTCCGCGTTTTTTCCCCGTTTGTGTAAAACGCTGATATGTCTTTTAAAGACTCGAAAAGTATAATTTACACTACATATATCCGCATTTTACCCGATTGGGTAAAACGCGGATATGATGTTTAAAACATACTTCGAAGAAAAATAGCTACTCCGTCCGTCCGCACGTATGTACATTAAAAAAGCCAGAGGTTCCTGACTAAGTGGTTAGCGACATTTAACAATTATTCGTCAAACGTGAGGTGATTATCGGGGAAAATTCACCGAGACGAAGTCGTCATTTAAAGACACGAGAAACGTATAAAACGATTCCTGTTCATGAGGTAGGAAAAGTATAATTTGAATATCAAACACCTTGCACAAAGTCAAAGGTCAGCTAAATATTCTATTTCTACTTCTATGTACCCTTTTGTGGCTTTTTCGTGCTTTCACTATCCTTATCTGCCAATAATTTGGAGAGTTCACTTTCATTTAGCGAAGCAAATCTGCTGTAGGCCAATGTTTTTTGTTTTTTAGCGCGTTTATAGGTTTAAGCTTTTGGCTGCGCAAGGGTTTGGGCACGAGAGAGTCCAATATTTTTTTTTTGGATGCAAGTTCGATCCAAAAAAACAATTATTGGACGCTGATGACGTCGTCGGCGGAAAATACGTAATAAATGCCGAATATTGAAAATTAGCCGGTGCCTTCTGACCACTTAGACACGAGAATACATATTATATGTACTGATATAAAGCAAATTGTGTAATCACCGTATTAACGTCCTATGAAATACTTTTAAATTTTAACCACGAAGTTTGGAGGTCAAATATTTTCCGAACAGATGTCCGGTGGACCGCTCTTACAGAGACGGCCTCTTAAAAGCTTTAGTGATTCAGCTCCACGGAGGTGGAATTTGTATTAGATATTATAATTGTTACTTATATATTACTTGTAATATAACACTAAATGTTTCAACTGTTTTGACAAATATAATTGACTCTGTTTATTAATTTATTTCTAGTCATTCCACAGTAGAAAAATGTTAAACAATGATTCAAATAATCTAACAACGGGAAGTCATGCATTACCTATTTTTCCCCTTTGCCAGTGAAATTCATTTTGGCTCATTCCCCCCCCCAAAAAAAAAAAAAAATCTTTCCGGCACCACTGATCAGAGCGACATCAATTTAAGGTGTTTTCCAGTGTTGTCTGCTATTGCAACTTTTCATACTTGAAGCTTGTGTCTAACTATGTATTATCATAATTTTAAGAGCCAAAATTAAAATTAAAAGAGGGCTGGGTCAGTAGTCTCAAGCATTATTTTAATTGACCAACCTTGTTACAACCCCTCCCCCATCCCAACTTTTGGGGGCATAATTAGTATTACTTAATGCATTAATATAAGACGAAGGTGATAAATTAAATATGGTCAAAACGCATTGCTGAAGCGCTGTGCACTTGTGTCCAATTTTAAAAAGATCTGGTCAACCATATTACAATATTACGTGGCCTACATGGGTGAAAGCGACATTTTTCGATGAAGAGTATTTTAATAGAGATTACTGGAGAAAACAAAATGACAAGTTTCAGGGCAAGCAATTTTTGCCTCTAGATTAATTGTGGACTCGATTCTTTCTACGCAGTCATGATCACACTAAATTAAAACAAAAAAAGTAAACATACCACCGAAAATACTATAGTATTGCGTTATCTCCAGTACTCTAAGTTATTGTGTGTTGCCGGTTGCGCACTTTTACTGAAGAGCTACATTTTAACAAGTTTGCACTGCGTCCTTCGCGATTTAGCTTGCTTCTCAACAGTAAGAAAGGACGATTAGCACGCGTCTACTTACTAGAATAATACGAGATTAGACACAGCTGTGAAGCGACCGCTTTGCAACTGTTTGTGCTCGGAAGACTGGAAATAGTAATTATTATCACGAAGGTCTAGCAGAAACTGTGAATGAAGTACGAGAGTGTAAACTCTGTATATAATTGGTGTTACAAAAAAAATCGATGAAATTTCTGAGCTTATACTTTTAGCCGTCTTCATACAGTAAATGTTTCTCTTTGTATTTAATCCTGCTATTCTGGCGCACGTTTTACCCGCCATTATTCCATTGTGAATGGCATTGACGTTTGATGCGTTGTTGATCTCTGATGGTAATTTTTTAAACATTTTAGTAATTTTTCTTGCAAATTTCAAATGTGTGTGAAAAGATAAACACTAAGTCGGGGGTCTTCACCCCTTTTTTTCGGCGACCCAAACCCAAGCTTCATAGGTGTCCCGCGACCCTGAACACTGCCAAAATTTGAATCAAGAATATAGTCGAGTGCTGAAACATTATTATTTTTATTACAGCTATATAACATCGACAGTATTACTCAACTGTTAGAATTATCGTTAATAACAATTGCAGAGTTCTTAACTTTCGCATCAAGTGTCATTTTTTGCCCCTGACAATTTTTTCATATCTCGGTATGTAGGATGTTGTGGCAAGCTTCATGTTAATCGACAAGTTCTCATTTGTCAGGCGGCTTCTGTATTTATTCTTAATGAACGTCATCGCGGAAAAAACTGATTCGCACACATATGTGGTTCCAAATCTCACCAATACCTTCTGAGCTATTGATTTCAGTTCAGGATATTGTTCTTCGCTGAGACAAAATTTTGATAGATCTGAATCAAATTCCAGTTTGGCAACTGGGTTCGCTTGGAGTTGGCTCAGTTCCATTGCAAACTCTTCGCGTGGTTTTCCGGTAAACGGCGCCTGTATGATTGTGAAATCTTCCACCTCTAGACCTGGAAATCGTTCTTGGAAATTAGTTGCAAGTTTTTGTAAATAGTCGCACAGAATCCGGACTTCGGGCGTGAAGTCAATATCGTCATCATTGAGAAAGCAGATCAGTTCCAAGAAACATTCGAAGTGTATAAAATTGTCCTGGATTGCTTCTTCTCGTAGCACGCCAAGCTTGTTTATGAAAACACGGATGCTGTTGTGTAACTCGAACACAAACTTTCCCCGTCCTTGTAGATTTGTATTGAGGAAGTTCATATGAGTAAATACGTCAGTCAAGAACGCCAGCTTAGCCAAAAAATGAGGATCGTTGAATTTAGTGGCATTTATATGCCCCTTCTCTGTCAAAAATTGATAAAGTTCCTCTCGAAGTAAGAACACCCGCTTCAAAGCGCGACCACGTGACAGCCATCTCACAGTATTGTGAAATAGCAAGGTTTCATATTCGGCATCATTTTCTTCGCAGATTTTTTTGAAGAGGCGTGCATTCAAATCTCTCACTTTCACGAAATTGATCACATTGATTATGATGACCATCACATTTTCAAATTCGACCGATAGGTTCTTGCTCGCAAGGGCTTGCCCATGAATAATGCTGTGGTTGAATTTTATGTCGGGATTCACTCGCTTCACTCGCCCTTTAAAGCCGTTCATATTACCAATCATAGCTGGTGCACCGTCTATGTTGCATTCGCTGATGGATCCCCATTCAATGCCACTCAACGCGAAAAATCTGCTAACAATATCGAAAATATCTTGTCCTTTAGTCGTCGTTTCCAATGTTAGTACCTCAAGTAACTCCTCTTTCAAATCTTCTCGTGGACTTATATATCTCCCATATAATGCCAGCTGTGGCTGCGAAGTATTGTCAGTTGATTCATTCAAGGCAATACTCTTTTG